CGAGCTCAGCAGCGCCGTCGCGGCCGGGCGGGGCGAACGGAGGCCGGCCCAGCCGCGGAGGAGGAGGCGGAGGAGGAGGCGGAGGAGCGCGCCTTTGGGCCAGGGCGGCCGCGGCAGGGCCCCTGGGGCGCGGCGGGCCTTCCGGAGTGGAACCCCGCAGGGTGGGGGGAGCAGCCGCGACCCTTCTCCCGCCCCCCCCGCCCCCATTAACCATGAGTCCGACGAAGCCGGTGCTTCGGGCGCCAGGGCCGAAGGGGGCGCCACAAAGTTGGGGGAAAGGGGGTGAAAACGCTTCGTTTGCACGGTATTATTCTTGTGTTACCCTAGGAATGGTATGGCTGCGGCCTGCATGGTCTCTCTGGTCAGCCGGTCAACCGCTCCAACGGACTGGGGGTCAGTGGGGAAAGGAGGGGGGCACCAAGAGGGGTCAGTGCTTCGGGCACCGGCGGCGAGCCTTCATCCGCCCTGTCCCCGGCACTGGCGACCTCCACCGCGACCACCGCGGACACCCAGCAGCACGCCTAAGCGCCCGCGCACCAACAAGAGAACACTTGTGACCATTGGAGGGCCGGCTACAGGCGCCTGCTCGCTTCCACCGTCCGGTAGACTGCTCTTGGACACGGAGGAGGAGGAGGCTCCGTTTTTTGCACCTCCCAGTAGGCCGGCCGGCCGACGGGCCAGCCTCCCCACCTACGCACTCCATTCCCCCCCCCCTCTCAGATGCAGGCTCAGACCTGTTTTAAAGAGGGGAGGGCCTCTGCAGACTCCCCCCCACAAGTGGGGCTCGGCCAAAGCCAGTTTGGTGTAGTGGTTAAGTGCGCGAACTCTAATCTGGGAGGACCGGGTGTGATTCCCCACTCCTCCTCCACTTGCACCTGGCTGGATGACCTTGGGCAAGCCGTAGCTCTGATAAGAGCTGTCCTTGAAAAAGAGCAGTTTCTGTCAGAGCTCTCTCAGCCCCACCTGCCTCACAGGGTGTCTGTTGTGGGGAGGGGGAGGGAAAGGAGTTTGTAAGCCGCTCTGAGACACCTTTGGGTAGTGAAGGACGGGGTATAAATCCAGTTTCCTCCTCCTCTTCTTCTTCTTCGTGGTGTGGTTAAGTGCACAGACTCTAATCTGGGAGAACCGGGTTTGATTCCCCACTCCTCCTCCACTTGCACCTGGCTGGATGACCTTGGGCAAGCCGTAGCTCTGATAAGAGCTGTCCTTGAAAAAGAGCAGTTTCTGTCAGAGCTCTCTCAGCCCCACCTGCCTCACAGGGTGTCTGTTGTGGGGAGGGGGAGGGAAAGGAGTTTGTAAGCCGCTCTGAGACTCCTTTGGGTAGTGAAGGGCGGGGTATAAATCCAATCTCCTCCTCCTCCTCCTCCCCTGAGAAGTATTTTCAGGACATTAGTTTCCTCTGCAGTAGTATTCCCCTGTGCATCATCCTCAAAAAGACCTCTGAATTGGCAAGTTGGGGTGTTGTGGTTAAGAGTGGGGGACTCTAATCTGGAGAACCAGGTTTGATTCTCCACTCCTCCACTTGCACCTGGCTGGATGACCCTGGGCCAATCAGAGCTCTCTCAGCCCCACCTGACTCACAAGGTGTCTGTTGTGGGGAGAGGAAGGGAAGGCAGTTGTGAGCCACTCAGAGACTCCTTCGGGTAGAAGAAGAAGAGATTGGATTTGTACCCCGCCTTTCACCCAGAGTCTCAGAGTGGCTTACAATCTCCTTTCCCTTCCCCACAACAGACACCCAGTGAGGTTGGTGGGGCTGAGAGAGCTCTGAGAGAACTGCTCTTGTGAGAACAGCTCTGACAGAGCTATTGCTTGCCCAAGGTCATCCAGCAGCTGCAAGTGGAGGAGTGGGGAATCAAACCAGGTTCTCCCAGATCAGAGTCCGCGCACTTAACCACTGCGCAAACCTGGCTCTCAGTAGTGAAGGGTGGGGTATAAAAACAAACTCTTCTTCTTTAAAGGAGGGGATGGACTCCACCCTGGCTTCTGCCACAGATTGACAGGCAGGCACATCTTTTTAACTATTCTACATCCTCTGTACCCTGTTTTTCTCCCAAATGGGGACCCAAAACAGCTTATGACATTTCCCCCTTTTCCATTTTATCCTCTCAATAACCCTGTGAGGTAAGATACACTGGGAGTGACTGGCCCACAGTCACCCAGCCAGCTTCCGTGGTAAGGTGGAGATTCGAACCTGGGTCCCACCATCATCCTGATACTGGCGGTCAATTCTGAGATGCCTAGCTTTATCTTCTGATAGAACAATGTCTGAGTCCAGTGGCACCCTGAAGACCAACTGTAATGTATCTAGTTCTGACCACGTGGCCGACTGCGGCTCCACGCGGTCAAGTGAAACCGTCGAGCTTCGCTCCAGGAAACAATGGACTAAGCGGATCCTAGCCCGCACCTATCCGAGGGCTAGGTTCCGGTCCGAAAGCCTATGGAACTCTCAGCCACTGTAAATAGCCTATTGCGGTGTGCGGGGGTGTTTT